GTAGAAAAACCGTTGTCTATTCGACAAAAATAACAACATCAGCGGGCAAGAGAAAATATCGTCTGCAACAGGACGGTGATTACAACAGTATACAAAGTCTACATATACTGGACACAAGGTCTACATATAGCCGCATCATTAAATGGAACCATAGACGAGGTCGAATAAAAATAAATTAGCTTTTATAAGATCTAACAGTGAAGGTCTCCGCTGTTTTCGAAGGCTGTGGATACACTAAGTTTGACAGAAATGTACAGAGATGTATGTGTATTTCGCGAACTGTCGGAACATAACATAAGCCTTCAAAACATAGACGTTCCGGAAATGAGCTTTTTCACCAGAGGAACGATCGACCTTCTAAACGTTGGCGCCGTACCTTCTCTCTTGTTTCATTTTTCGAAGAGAAAAAAAATGCAAGGGATCGAGCTGAGGCCTACTCCTAAGTTACTGTTCAAGTTTGAAAGCACCGACTGAACACTAATAACAACAAAAATTCTACACTGTCCGCGGCGACGCGGACACACGGCACCGGCGCGGTGCGACCCCGTTCTCTGCAGGCATAGACACCTAGACGAACAGAACACAGACGTGAACAACGAAAAAACAAGCGTAAACATATACAGATTCATTGCTGGAACGCTAAAGGTCACAGACAGGCATTTAGAATGCGTAGACCTGACTTTGACGGCCTGACCTAGACCAGAGCGGGGCCTAGCAACGGATTGAAAGGTTGGAGTGGTACCTGCCTTGGGATTTACGAAAGACCTTTTACCAGGACTCAAGAGGAACAAGTACTTCAAACGCAGTCAAAGGAAAAGGGGATAAAGACTGAACCAAACATAGAACAAGCGAAAACTTCTTTGCTGTACGCCAAAGTACAACTGCGCTACAAATACCGAACACTTGAAGCATCGCCGCCGACGTCAGCAGAGAGGAAAGAGGAAACAAGCGGATAGGCAAAAAGTAGCAGGACCGACAGGGCAACGGGAGACACAGATCATTATGGTATATGTACAAACAAAGAGGGAGATAGATATATATATATGAGAGAGACTGGCCCGTAAAAGGTGAAAACTTTTAAGTTCTCGCTTCGCTGCTGTCGTATTGAGGAAGAAGAAAATAAATAAATAAATAACGGAATGAAGTAGATAGACAAACGAGCTGGGATTCTCCATGTGTTTGCGTGGCCGTATGCAGCGGTTTACCTATTTCTGACTTTGAAAAGAAGTTAGAGCGTGATTATTGGTTAGAAAAAAGTACATTTGATTCGCGCTAACGAACACAGTTTGGAGACGTGCTTGGAAACTGATTAGAAATTATTCCGCATCACTTTCAGCGTTATCTTAACCGTAATTTATGAAGACGTTGGATGCAAGTATCATAAATATAATTTGATTATCTTAAGGCTCGGGTTGAAGATGCAGTTTGAGATGGTATTAATCAAAAATTTAGTTAAAGTATGTCCTTATTTATAAAACTACGCCCTCCTTTATGCCGCGTATCGTACGCCTCTACCACTGTATATCACTCATCAAATCTGAGAGAACAGGCGAGTTTACGGTATTAGCAAATAAAACTGCGTAATCTATGCTCGAGCATTGTATCTGCTAGCTACAATTGTATCTGCTAGGATCTGCGCGAGCCTTTCTCCTCTTCCGGTTACAACGTACGTAAAGACTTTGGCTATTAACAAACGATGTTTTAGAGCTCATTCACTTTATTTCATCTGTTTTGCAGTTCAGGTGGTATTCTTTCAGATTTTAGTTGTTTTTATCGCTTATTATAGGGGCTTGTTCTTGTAAGTGACCGCTTTTTCTATTATGAGGCTTTTTCTAAGCTCACCGCTTTTTTAGTCTCTTCAACCTCGCTAAAAGCTCTTAGCTTTGCCCTTGCTTAATTTTCCCTTATTCTTCCGCTTTGCTTAATGCTTGTGGATAATTACTGAGCGATTTATAAGTTCCCTTCACTTTATTATATTTGGTCCAGTTTCGTCCGTTAGCACATATGCTCGATTCAAAATTGGGTAGCGACATGCTTGGGGTTGATTCTACGTTCTTATGTCACAGCTGATTCTCAGTTTACGGGCATTTCAACGCTATTTTCCAAATAACAATCCGCATTCAAGGTACAGCATAAAGGTTTGAGGAACACTATCTTTTTTGATCCATTCTAAACCTAGAAATGGCGCCGTTGGAGGATACAAGGGTCTACATCGCTGACCCTTATAGAGGATTTTCTACTGAACCAAAGCAGCGGATCTTGATTTTTATAGGCTTTCCAAACAGCTTATTGTTGATCCTTCAATCTATCAGTTGTAGAACTTTTTTTTTTAATTTTCAAGTGTTCATGCAGTTAGCCAATAATGGACGATCGTTTTCGGTTTTTGTTGCCACTTCGGTTACGTTCGTGTGAAATGGGCAAAGAAGCGATCGATAATTGTCTGCTTTAATATCACATACACGTCTTACATAGGAGTATCGTAAGAACGTTTTACGGCAACAATTTTATCGAAATTATTTTCACCGCCTCTATATATTTTTGTATGGCAAAAGTTCGGTCAATACTTGTATTTTCGTGTATGTAATTTTCCTTTGCTTTGTAATTACATATGCTACTTGACTCGCCTGCTTTCTTTGGCATCTGCTTTACGTACGAACAGACATAACATTCATATTCGAGAGCTCCCGAATAGCCCAAAAAGCTACTGCCAACCAAATACTTCGCCATGTTTGTTCTACGTTACGTTTGTGCTCGCTACTACGATAAGGCAAACGTGTTGAAATCGAGACCGATATCGATAAGATAATGGTTCATCGCGCCGGTAATGATGATTATCACTGCTATTTCTCTTCTGTCTTCATACATCTGTATTGAATGAGATAAAATAGAGAAGTCGCCATCAGCCCTCGAGGCGCAGAAGACTTTTCAGTATTCAATGCGTGTGCTCGGGAGATGGCTGCGAGAAAAAGTTGGTTACAACGGCGACGACAGCAAACTCGCTCACTCCGCGCTGTGGTCATACTGATGTGAAGTTTGTAGGCGAAAATGCTTAGCCCCAATTGAAAGGTTTCAGATTTTCTAGACGCAGGCGGCCACCACGGTTGAACCGCAAAGGAAGACTTATTGATGAAGTGGCCACATAAATACACCCTGGCGCATACTTCCCAAGGCAGTCGATCCCCCGCCTGTGATAATCGCAAATAATCTATATAAACAAGACGTGCAAAAGGGTTAGTTCGGTATCTCTAGAGTCGAGTGTTCACGGCGAGATGAAGCCGAGCGCACTGAAGGATCTAAACGACGACCGCCATCGTCGTCAACAGCGTTGCCTGAGGAAGTTAAGAAGACGCTAACATACAAACCCAATATGGGTGGATCGAATGGTATTCGAACGGACGAGCAAACGCCAATGATCTCAATCAGTTATGTGATACGCGATCACACGTCGATTAAGCTGATATAACCGATTAATGGGCTGATTGGCGTTGGAGTTGGGTTGTGTTGCGCCCATACGGCTTCACTGGTTGGACGAACGAGACCCAAGATTGTTGTGGGCTGCCTTCCAGTTGAAGGGAAATGCTGTTCGCGCGCAATGATGACTACTCTCTCGTATCGCCACAAAACGATAGCGTCGTTTTAGTGAATTGTATCCTATGTTCGAGCATTGAGGAATAACAAGAGATGCTATTACCGGTTGCCATATCGAGCACTATATCGGGTCCGTATCGTTTTCATCAATCCGCATATCAGTCGCTTAGTGAGTGATTGATTGATTGATTGCGGTCTACGAGGAAGCTTGTTCCGCGCATGTTGATAATATCAACTCGAAAGGTGAAAATGACTTAAATATGATATTATCATTGCTTGTATTATTATTTTTACCATTGATATTTTGGCCTTCGCATAACGCTTTATGATACGACCTAGTGAAATTAAATAAAAATAATACGCATAGTAAAAATGTTTAAAAAGTGGAAATTTTCACTAATAGATCACCGTAACAGGAAAATATGGCAAAGCTTATTTTGTGGCGATGTACTAAAAAATGTATATTTTTTAATGTCTGCACAAACACAGCCATAAATGATATGGAATTTGCAAGTTGAATATAGAAAATATCACTAGCTCTAGGTATGAATATTCTTAATTTATATATACGGGCCGTTAAATTAACGAATTTTCGTGTGTCACTGTATAAAATGCGAAAAAGCCGTGAAAGCTCGAAGATATACCTTGTATGTGGATTTTAATTCTACAGAAACTAGCGTAAACCAAAATGGTGATCGAGTCGCTACTTTGAGAAACGTCCCGCCATTGATTGCATATAACCGTCCGCAGCCATTTTACAGTGGACTTAAAATACTTTACAAAGCTTTAAAAAGTAAAGAGTTCGAACAGCGCTTGCTAATTATGAATATGTACGTCATATTGTTACGGAGCATGACCTGAATAACAAGGCTACATCCCAAGCAAGATTTTGTGGCAATCAGCTTAGCATGACCCGCACTATGCTTCAGTCGTCCACTATTACCCGTATCTTCTTAAAATAAATAGTATCCTACTTCAATATATTTGAAACCATAAGGCCTGACAAGAAAGGACCTGCGAAAAAACTATGAGAATGTGTGTCACGGCAGTGTTACTCTACAAGTTGAGAAACTGGCAAGCTCAGGCTGGTTTCTTTCTAGTTGTCTGCACTTTTTGTACACAGTTTGGTTGAATAGAAGCTTTGCATACACGACTTTTTTGAAATAAAAAAAGTTTGAAGCTGTAAATGTCCTAAAAAGCGACAATGCTCTTGCCATGGGTTTTTGATCTGCAAAAAAACCGGTGATAGTGGAACCTTAGAAAAGCAAAGTGAGAAAGAAACAAAGGCAAAATGTAATTATTAAACGTACTCTTCATATTCACAGATATAAAAAAGTATGTTTATTAAATACATACAAAGGGATACAGCTAAAAGCTGCTGCGACTACGCGCTGCCAAAATAATGCTTTCTCTCTGAAGAGTACCGGCTCAAAAAAAGGTGAGTTTCCTCTTGATCTGCTAATTATTACAAGGATTTCTACTGCTCGACGATTCCTTTTCAGGCATAGTCACCTGAAACGCATCCAGTTGAACCCGTAAATGCAATGTTAGATGGAACTAGAACCCAGTTGATGCTTTAATACTCCAAACATCCCAACAAAGAGAGAGAATAGCATAGACTATATGTATATATGCTTGTATGTCGAATATTTCTCACACGGCCTATGGCCTAGAATGGATATACAACATCACATCAAGACCTAACCCTATTTGATAGGTTGCGTTCTTACGAGCTTATTAAAACAAACAAGACACAGGGCAGAAGATATGGGCGACAGGTTGAGTGTTTGTTGATCAACGAAAGACGCTGTCTGCCCAAAAAAGATTACCCGAATTAGAAAAGGCGCAATAACATACCGTTTCTCTGCGCTTCGGCCTACGTTGAGGTTATTGCTTTTGACGGGCAAGCAAAAGCCGCAAGGTCGAATTTGTATAGGGAGCAAGCGACCAAAAGACATGGTAGGAACCTCGACGACGAGAATGACGTCATGTTTAACGGGCCACCGAGCCTACGAGGCAGTGGAAATATAAGTGAGCCAATTCGGCATAAGGAAAGTAGGCCAGGCGATACCTGAGTAAGATCTACAGCGAGACGTCTAATTACCATAAATGGACGTACAGGGGTTATAAAAAGGGCCAAAAGAAATAAGCAGTATATCTAATAGTATCGGACTAAAACTGCTGACGTGAATAATAGGAATCGCATAGGTGGTAACACTGATAAAATTAAAAGCTGTTTTGCAATAGCTGCTAATAGCGCAAGCGTTCCTCTCGCCGTACCAAGCGTAAGAGTAGCAATGCTACGTTGTGCTAGATGAAACGCCGTTGTGCGGCCTAAAATGTTTAAACAGATCTTTCGTGAACGCAGCCTGGAAAGTGCTTGACGAATCGACATGGCCTATTTATAGCTTAGCTCTAGACCGACATGGAGTCGTGTATATACCGGCAGTTCATAGGCCGGTAACCGAAGAATCCGAGTACGAAGGGGCGGTAACCTTTAAACAGTGTGCCTTGAGCGTCGTTGCGTACCTCCTAATGCATGCGATTAGTAACTTTGCAATTTACACAGTTACACCGAAGTAAAAAGAGAAAAGCAAGTAAGAGCGAACGAAGAAAAGAGAGAAAGAGCATGCGTAAAAGGCCGGCGATGCCATTAGTCTTGAAAAGATACAACCGCACGTTAAGCACGAACGTACGCATCGCCAGTAGGCCCCATATGTTTGCGCCTGTTATGTTCGACCGTCTGCACGCATGTGTATGTGTTTATTTTTGTGCTTAAGTATGTGTTGGGATATATGGATCCGGCTCGGGAACCACATATGTAATCTGACGTGCCTGACACCTCAACGAACTACTGGCAACGCCTGCCGTAATTCTGCTATATAAAAAATAAACGTTAGCGAGATATGCATAATCAGATCAGACTATGTCGTTATCAATGATTATGCAAACACAACTTGTAGTGGCTTGCTATAAGAAAAAGCTTTGCCTAATGTATGGTATGTATCGAAAAAATGCTAAACCCATACAAATTAGAAAGATAATCCTCATGACTCACAGACATGCTTTAGTTTTACATGCTCCGTCATCTATCAGTATATACAATTGCTATTTTGAAACACTATATACGCCACACGACGATTATGTTACCTTGGTTTTTAGAAGCATTGCAACGTTAACTGTCTTACTTTGAGTCAAGTCTATCCACTGCTTGTTTATAGGCGTGAAACGGTTAGGAAACATAGCGTAATCTATGTCTGTCGCTAGACGAAAAAAAAACTGTAAACAATAATTTGCGTTGATAGGACAACGCTAGTGCACCAGAGGGAGCTGATATTTTCTGTGCATTCTGAAATGTCATCATCTATGTAAGAACTCAACATACAGCTTTAATATACTCTAAACAAGCGGACGTACAACTTCTTGTTAAGCAGTCAGCCTTTTTCTGTTCTGGACCTTTTAGTCGGGTCCTGAAATGGCGAAACGTACAAGCCTTGAGCGCGCAATAGTCACGATTGCCGGTGGCAAGCGGAAGATTGTGTTTTATACTAAATGATCTCTATTACATGATGTAAATATGACTTACTTCGCTATGGAAAGCTGTTTCAAAAACTGGATAAAGATACAAATCTAAATCACAAATATAATAAATAAAACATTATTATTACTATTGTATTACAAACGCGGGCGCTTGCCTTGAGTCAACCAATGTTCGGCTACCTGGACAAACTTTTGTATGATTTTCATCGATATTAAAATGAATGAGAGTTCAGAAGCGAGAAAAACGTGAAGTAAAACGGGACTGAAAAATATCTCATTTCGTTTGGCTCACGAGCCGTTCTCTTGGGCACTATACACACTCGACATTGTCTCGAAAGAATAAACAAGATAATGTTCAGGTTATGTAAGATAATATACATAACATGACCGGAAATTGTTTCATGTAAAACTTACTGTAGATTTAAAAAATGGAGAATTTATACTTAATTACAGACGGATTTACGAGGCTACTATGCACTATTGCTGATTGAATTAGGGCTAGAAAAATATCAAGAGCGAATAATCGTGAGCTGTGTAGAAAATGAGCAAAACGAACCATTTCACGCCCCAATCCTTCATCGAAGATCCTCACGAGTCTCGAGCGACGTCCCGCTCTAGCTGAGAAATCATCAACCAAAAGAAGAAGGAATATCCGTAAGTCACGCGGCTGTCCAGCGCCGTGTGCATCTCTGTGTGTGTCTTATCCAGTCTTCATGTTTATCCAGACAGTCGCCGACAATCGATCTTGACTGCGGCTGAGATATAGTTGGACGACGCGATGCGGTATTGCCGGCAAGTTGCTGCCTTCTCGTCAGGATGAACACAGAAGCCTTTGAGACGATGACGACGACAGCTCCGTCTTAAGATAGGCGCTCCTTGGTTTTAGATAAGCAATTAAAACAATTACAGAAGCGGAGCGATTCATCTGTTTTTGCTGCTGTTAGTTCCTCTCCGCTGACTGGCTTTTTTTTCGGTGTCTTCGCCGCTTGCCGTTGTCGTACAGCAGCAACAGCTTGTGCTTCTTGCGCTTGACGTAAGTCGATATGGCGCGCAAAGAGCGCACGGAATGCTTTGTAAGCCAATTGAGCAGCGTAATTTTTTGCCTGCAACGTCGTTGTTGTTTTTCTTAGTATGGCTTCTGCTGTTTCACCTCTGCTAGCTCTGTTGTTGAGGGTTGTTGTCTTCACACGAAAATGAACCAGGAGAAAAGCGGCAAGCATAGGGCGCAGCCGCAACGAATCGATTGAAGTGGCTTTCGGCAATTCCTCTGTTGTCTTCGTCTGTTAAATGTAATGTTAGTCAATGTACGTATTAAAGCTCGTACGATACGTACAACACTCACACTGTCGTCATATTACCACATCGGTGCAATAAAAGAAACTCAGTAACCTCACTTGTCGTCAATACAGCTCTTCCGCGGCCCTCTTTAGTCCGCATCAGCACTTCAGTATTTAGGTACACATATCTGATATATATGGACCAGTAGATCCAACAAATGTGTGTGCTAATGTTGGTGTTAGTCGTATGCGCCGATGTGCTGACTTGTCGAAAAGCCAGCAGATTGTGCTGCGAAAAATCCTGCAAGACTTCTGCACTATTCTACGCAGACAGTGTAGCCATGAAGTACCGGAGGCCGCGGCCGATCTGTGAACCCTACGCCGGATGCACATACGCACTTACACGTACATTCATCGAGGCTCGTACACTGTGAAGACTCGATGTACAAAGCAGGGTAAGAAAAAGCGTGACGGCAGCCCGCGACGTCCGCTGGTCTGCTGGGTTTGGCCAAGTTGAGTTTCATACTCCCTTCGGGCCTTGGGGTCGGCCGCTGAAGTTGCTCGAGTATTTGCCAGCTCCGCTCCCTCTTTTCAGCGCTGCTAACAGCAGCAGCAGCAGCAGCAGCAAGAAAACGAAAAGCAATACGGACAACTAACGTCGACGTGAAAGGCGGCGGCCATGACGCTTGTCGAGCCTTAACAGTGGAAGCAGCAGCGGTAGCAGCGACGGCGGCGGCGGCAACAGCAATCTGGCAATTCATAAATCTTTCCGGCCGATCGCAGTATGCGTTTACCAGACAGAAAAGCAAAAAAGTGAGAAACGAAGAGGATGAACAAAGAGGAGAGATGGCAAGGCAGTTGAGCCAGACGACAGCACACGCTGCAGGCACACAAAGCAATCCCCACTACTGTGCAGAGTTGTACACGTAACGCCAGGGAACATATACGGATAGAATGAAATCGCCGGAAAGGAAAAGCTACTTTTACACAAACGGGATTGCCATTGAACGAGTGGGGCACTTTACGCTTGCATAAAGAATTAGCATCCAGCTACCAGTGAAACAACAGCTACTGTAACAAGCGAGTTAGCGAAGACTTCGCTCGCTAGCGTCAAAGGCTAGCCAACACAGCTAAGTGATGGAACGCGACTGCACCCAGAAACGAAGTGAGTGGCCTGAGGTTGCTCGAGCTGTTACCGTTGTTGCAATCGTCAACCTCTTATAGCTCTTTCACGGAAACCAAGACGATTTCGATTGTATTGACCTGCTAGTCTCGAACATTGATGTACCGAATGCTCTAAGCACGTCTGTAGGCACGCATACAAAAGACGACGATAAAGCGACGCTATGCCGTTGCAGGCGTTGCGTTGTAAACAACTGAAAGTCTGCCACGTGTCCAGGGTGCACAAGCGGAATAATTGCACCGGCGCCCGCGTCTTTCTCGATGTATTCTGCTTCAAAGCGTCGCGATAACAAATTGGCCCGCAATAGTTTAGCAGACGTGGCGTTTGATGTACCACCAGAGCCAACGTCCCACAATGATCGTTTTAAGATATTGTAGTAGGTAAGGTAGTGCTGAGCTTATTCGAAGTGAGGTGAGCAAAATGACGTGTATTATACTGTACTACCTTATTACCGAGTCTATCGTTAGTTCGAAGGCGCCCGCGAGATGCGGCAGAAAACCTAGTACATACTCGGAAAAACCAGAACGCAGAGCGAGATACGACTATAACAGATATTGGACATTGGACGACGTTTAGAGCCAACATGCTGATATTAAACGTTTTACTATATCCACTTAATACGTTTTCTACAAAGTGTACAATGACGGCAAACAATGATGCTGTAATGACGATTTTTCTAGCGATATAATCCTCAAAACTGCGTTTTCTCTTAAGCTATTAGGCTAAGGATTCGGTCTATGTCCTCTTTGATCGCTGCTGTTACTTTCTACTTAAAAAATTCGAGTTACATAAGCGTCGGCAGTCCGCGGTCTATAGACTCATTCATTCGTTCCCCAACATCGTAATATATCCAGTGACTAGAACAAAAATGAGTCTATTGTGGGAAGCCTTTACCGAGGTCAAGGTTTTATTACAAGGAGTGCATACACGTAGACAGGCGAAAACGCACGCCTACGTCAACATACCTATACCTGTTTTAACCGAAAAAGGTCGCCTGTTTAACGAAAGTAGATCCATAGGTTGTACCCACGAACTTGACCAGTAACACAGACCGAGAAGACGAAATATAAGAGTCCTTTAATTGGACAGGAGGATCCGAATGGAACTTTCCTAGATGTTAGCGCTACATTACCACTAGTAGTCACGTCGAAGGCTACAAGCAATTTAAAGAAGCTCAACTTTTTTTTAGCATAGCCAAAAGGTAGACGAGTACTGCACTGGCTCGAAGACACATGATGGGATATTTCCGCTTATGAATTGTGTAAGGTTACAGAACAAGACGAACCTGATCTTGTAGTTTCCTCAAACTTGGCCGCTTCGCAGGCTGATTGATTGTTCACTAGAAAAGTTGCTATACAGCTGAAACTGCTATCCGATTTCGGACAACGTAATTCGCTACCTAAGTGCTCTGATGTTGTCGTTCTTCAGTTGATACAAGACTTTGATCTGAGTTGGCATGTAAGCCTGACTGGAGATGAGACACGAACTACAATTATTTGGAAATTAATCCGTGGCTTATCGGTGGCTCTTAAAGGCTAGTTTTGGTTAGATTACGTTTCGACCGAAATAGACCATATTATATATATAGCTCGTACGCTATCACTTTATTGGTGCGTAACAAATTCTTATATTAGGCTTGAATACAATAAGGGATGTTGGGAACAGTATTGCTTTGCCAGAACAGAGACATACGGAACATTGACAACATGGCTGTATCTAGCTGACGCTTTTGAGAACGCGCGCCAAATAGTGCAGGGTTGCGCTCAGTTTCTAGTCGTTAGCCAGCACGTTCGTGGATCGTAGTGATTCAGCGACTGTCTTTGCCATAAAGGCTGCATGTGTTGCTTGTTTGAATTATGATAAGCCCTCTCTTGCATACAGAATTTTGGAAACATAGAAGAAAGGACAAGCTTATTAAACTTATAATATTCTTTCTATGGTAATGCATCGACCTGCGGTCAAACAAACCAATAATAGATGGATAAGATCCAATCTTATCCTCGTATTTTATTATATTTCTAGTTTTTTCAGTATACGATAAACACATAATATTTTCAATGTTAACAAACGTCGTAACTACACCACCATACTGCGCAGAAGTTGTCTACATTTTCTTTACCCGTGCACTATGTTCTGTTGTCTGTTTGTTTGTTTGTTTATATACACGTCTAGGTTCCAATGGGCGTCCTTGAACATTCTTCATTTAATCTTCTCTCGAAGCAGTACTTAAGTGCCCCTTTCACTTGTTAACATTACATGTGTGTTTTTGGGATTCTCGCCCAACCGTAAGCTCGTACTAACCGCTGCGACCGATGCCAGCATTCCCACTAAGGTTTAAACAAGATTCTGCGCCGTTCGTAGTTATGACTATGCACTACTTCTACTTCTAATTCTGGCTTTTTCCTTTCTAACTTTTTGCCCAACCGACCATCAAGGTCGAAAAGCCATTTGGCACTTCCCTTCTAGTCCACCTGGGGGCACCACAAATCGCTGCCACGACTGCTGTTGTTGTCGTTTTCGCTGTCGCAAGCTTCACCTCCGAGACGCAACTACGTGATACTGCGATGCTGAGCTCATCATGTTTCTAATCAAAAGTGAACAGCACTCTTAGCTTTTCGTATCTCACCCGCAATAAACTGTTTAAAGGCCATAATATCTATAGCCAGCAATTTTCACCCATGAATTTCTACAACTGCGGTGCCATTATCGAATCCCAAACATGAGAGAGTTTACCTCAATGGCGACGCACATTGATAACCTGATAAAAACAAGTTTTCATTAGTCTATTGGATAGACGCTCACACAGCACGTTCGACTAACGCGCCTACATTTATCATACATTAATAAGAGGCGCCAAAATGCCTCATTGTCATATTCCGTCGTTTCGACAGGATATTCCCATCGGCGTACTGGTCATGGCAGGGCCAAAAAGATTGCTGAAGGGCCAAACGAACCGGCCTCATTAATGATACCTACCTGATAAAGCAACGGTATAAAGGAAGCAGGGCAGTTCATTCATTGCGAATCACAAAACGAAGGTTAAACTAAAAGGAAAGAAGGCGGACGCCAGACGCTACCGTTCCCGCGCACCGGGTCCGTATCGAGGTACGTGCTCCTTTCGGCAATGCCTTAGTTGATTTCTTTTACTTTCAATCGCTCTCGCCTCTCCCAGGAGTAACTTCCTCGTGGACAACAAAAACTCAAGAGGCATGAACGTATGGACGGATCTTCCTTTAAAACCGGACGAATACTCAGTGCGTGTGGGCGGCGAGCAGTAGTCGGTGTTACAGTAGCATCGAACGTGCTCATAAACTTCGTCATTATCGTGCTTCTAAGCATCAACGATAAGCACTTGGATAGGCGATACGTCCGGGTCTTGATCGTAAATATATCGCCTGCACCCTTTATAAAAGTGATTACTCATCATTAACACTATGGAGCCGTATGAAATGCTCGAGAAAACGTACGTCTGCATGGTGCGTATCAATATAGTAGCAATAGACCTATCGTGCCCTATGAAATCCAGTGGATAATAAATGCTGAAATTAATAAAGGTATAGGTGTTAAGTGAACTATTTAAGCAGTAAACAAGCACTCAATAAAGCAAGATAACAGACAAGTATTTAGACAAAACTTGATAAGACATGTAAGTTATTGTTCTTCAACAAGTAATCGCAAAAAGTCGGTTATAATTAATCCTTAGTAATTTACGATTTTCGTAGATAATACGATGCCTAAGTATAGACTAGGTTGTGATTTGATGACCGAGGCTCCGTTACTAAACTATGTCGAAAGCCGGAGTGGAATCGGCCTGCCCTCATTCGTAACTGTATGTTATTCCTAAAATGTTAAATCGCAATATATTGAAGCAACATTATTTACATGCTCCTCGTAAGTTGGCTCCACGACCTGTTCAAGATGAGGTACAACCTTTTTCTTTTTTCATTTTAGACAGCTGATACACAAAGCACCTGACTGCTTGCGCTCGCGCACTCCGCTCTTTGAGCTGAAACTCTTGCAACTAGGAGATTTCGCTCGGAACCGCATTCACTAATACGGAAATAAAACCCAGTGTTAAGTTCAGCTTTCATGTTGTCAATTTCTTATTAATTACTAATTAAAAGCTCGACCACAGTCCCCATGGCAGTACGTATGTAAAATATATCTAATTGGATAATGTTTCGATTTTTTTCCATAAAAACCTTTACGAACTACAACAGGTGCATTAGTAATGGTAACAGTAATAAAAAAACACCGGAGGTACCTAAAAAAAAGACACTAAGGAAACTTTCAAATACTACCAGTGTTTATAGCTGTTCTTTGTCACGACCTGTTGACGACGACCGAAGGCTGAAGGGTCCTTAAAAACCTATAAATAAATTTAAAGATCGACGCTTGCTGTACAGTGATACTATTAGAGAACGCTTGAAAGGCCAAGATTAATAAAAATGGACAGCTTTTGGCAGGATGCCAGACACTTCGGTGAAATGGCCTGTAGGGAGTTGCTAGTATATATATAACCAGTATTATATAAACAATCGGTCATAAATAACAATGCAAAGCTACACAGTTCTAGCTACCTTACTAGCTATGCTATGTTGTGCGGAGTTGGTACCTATATGGAAAACTCAACAGCTTAGGTCAACAACATAAAACATAAAGATGGACAATATACATGCAGGTACAGCAAAGGCCATGCGTATAATTGGGCTGGCATGGTCCGAGCAAACAACCTTTAGCATAATCTCCTAAATAATAAGACAAAGAAAGCTTTTTTGTAACGATAAACTCTTGAGCTCTAACCTGTTACTCAGACCAATGTTCCTTTTTAGATCATTAACCTGAAGCAAGTACTAGGCAAAACTCTCGCTTAGCCAGTACCAATTACGTTGGCACCTATACGTGCATTTTGTATACTCGAATCAGACCATCTTCACCAATAATATATATATAATGAAGTAGTCGGAACGAAAAATGTCTATTTTTATAATGATTTTATAAGTTCTAATGGGATTTTCTCTCTGTATCACAAAAACTATTCATGGGGTTCCGATATGGTTAAATTCCACTGTCAATAATCCAATCTGTTTCTCTCCCCTCCCTCTCTCTATATATATATATACACGTATATATATATATATATACATACACGTATATATATTTCAAGGTAGCTTGAAAATTGCAATATTATTTGCCGAATGATTTTAAACAGCATTGTGAAGCAAACTTTGACATCAACCGTTACATTGAAGTGCACCCGGACTTCG